TTTAGGGTTTTAGGTTTTAAGGTTTAAAGGTTTAGGATTTAGGGGGCTTCTTAGAAACAAGGCCTTAGTGTAGGGGCCTTCATACTTAGCACAGGGTTTTGGGGTGTATTATACTATAACAAGAATGAACCCCGAAAATAGTGTGGGTAATTATTAAGGCCCCTGTAGTGTGTAGGGCTTACGGTTTCAGTTTCTTACTTAAGGCCTTAAAGCAAAAACATGGTCCTATACCGGATGTTTGTCTCGCCCTGCTGGGGTCTGTGCTGTCTCAATGAGGGTTTCCAATACAGCTCTTCAGACGATCACCCAGGGTTCGTCTTCTTGCAATATGATGACGGAGGCCGTGGCTATGACTAATCTACAATTTCCCGAAGCGTGGTTATTGCCGTTCGTCCATTGCTGAAATGGATGATGATGATGATGATGATGAAGAAATGATGATGATCACGACGGTGATGATGATAACGACCGGTGGTGATGATGATGATGATGGCGATGATGATGATGATAACGACTGTGATGATGATGATGATAACGACTGTGATGATGATGATGATGATGGTGGTGGTGGTGGTGGTGGCGATGCTGGTGATGATGACGATGATGGGGATGATGATGATGATGATGATGAGGAGGAGGAGGAGTACTGCACTATTACCCGCAGAATGGCCATGACCATTCCTATGGCGTTACTGCTATCATGCCACCAAGTCTTTTTCTTGTTCTGACGAGTGCTGGAAGTGGCATGAAAGAAACCGATGATAATTGGAGAGTTCTTGAACTCAAGGACCCCAGGATAGCCGATTTCAAGAAGCCCGAAAACTCAAGCCTTTCGCAACAATCGAAAATCCTCAGAGAATGCCCTCTTTAAACAAGCACTGTATAAATCCCTACCCTAAACCCTGAACCCTAAACCCTAAACCCTAATTGCATCCCGAAACACACGCAGAAGTCGGCCTTGGGGATGCGGTGCAGCGGAGACACGATGGTCTCGAAGTAGTCGCAAACACCTCGGCATTTTGCCGGGTTTTGAGTTTTAGGGTTTAGGGTTTAGGGTCTAGGGTTTAGGGTTTAGAGTTTAGGGTTTAGGGTTTTGGTTTTAGGTTTTAGGGTTCATTATACTATAACTGTAGCTGCCCCCTCCCTTTTTTTGAAAGAGGAGCCTGTCCCTTCTTGTCCTGGGAAAAAAGAAGGACTTTGAAGTTCAGGGTTTGTAGCTTAGGCCTTAAAATCAAATATACGCCTACATAACATGTGTATGTAGACATACATACATACATACATACATACATATATACATACATAGATTCATAGATAGATAGATATGTATATATATATACATACACACGTAT